CAACGTTGCTGAGATATTTGCAAAACTCTGGACCGCAGGTGTCTATGGTGGGGAACGAACGCGCTATTATCCTTTCCGGCACGGAAAGCAGCACGGAAACAACAAGCGAAATGTTTGAAGATTCTCTGGGGACAATGCATGGGAAGAAAACGAATCAAATGCAAAAAGTGCCGAGATTCTCACAGTAGATATAACGGGTCATTTTAAAAAATGTCTTAGATTTGTCAGAGATCGACGTGTGGTTCACTCTCTCTTGTTAAGGTTTGGTCGCATCCGAGTAGGTTGGAAGGTATATTTTTTGAACTCTTCCTCAACATTTGGTAGCGTTCAATGTAATTCCTCAGGTTTTGTTGTAAATTCGAGTCATGCACATTCAAATTTTGACGCAGTTTTCTCGAGGATACCTGCTCCCTTTTTATAGCCGTTGTACACTTTAGTGGACGAAGGCTGGTGTTACTTCCCCATGTGTAGGTGCGATGCTTATCGTTTTTAGCTGCTCTCCTTCGAGCTGTGTCAGCACCGTTTCCCGATTCTTAGTGTCTTGATAGCAGCCAATTATGCCGCACTTCCAGACGAAACGGCAGTTACCGAACGATTTCACACTAAATTTGCACGCATTTTTATAGTCCATCTATGGCTGTAAATTCATGGATGGGCATAACATTCTCATCGGAACAGCACTGGAGTTCGTATAGGTGGAGTAATCAAATCTACGCTGTTTTCAGTAGGTGCCTTTCGATGGCCATCATGATGCGTCTCAGCACGAAGCGCATTCCGCAGTGCGATTCTACGATGCACTAATGCCACAGCGAGTGTTTTTCCAGATTAGGCACAAAATACTCCTTATTTCTTTGTCATCATATCACTATAATGCTATTCATACACTGTTCTCTATGCACCGTCTGTTACACTATCACTCTGCAAAATCATAACTGTCGTCAACTGGTGACATCGTTATGGTTAACCTTCCTAGCAATGTATATCAACCGAACGCATTCCATGATCACCTGCTACATCGACCCCATAACACTCTGGACGGCTCTTCCCAAACATACGAAGCTGATATATCACTTATTCCATACCAGTACGTAGGATCACCATTCATTCAGCAATCCGGTCTTCCATTCCACACAACCAATGCAATCTATTCCTTTTGATTCCGCTAGTGGTTTACTGCTCAAATACAACACATGCTAACAGTGTCGTGCAGTGAACTGTGTAGTATACATAATACATATGAGACAAATGAATCTCTACACATGGATGGACTCCTCTCCACACAAGGTTTACGGTGAACAACGCATCTTTGTTGGCGTCACCTTTCTATTTTTAAAGTACCGATGTGATACAGTAACAAATTCTACCAAAAAAAAAATGAAATTGAACTCGTATACGAGACAAACAAAATTTAATTTCTTCAACTGAAATAACATTAACATCAAATTTTGTTGAACGCAACAATGTCGACAGACTGGACGTGGTCTTCGAAATCACTGGTGATCTTCTCAATTAGATCATCGACGGATACCTTTAGATCTTCGATAACACAAATTATCTGCAGCTTGTTGATACCTGTAAGAAAGAGGTTATCGAGTCCGCCGGTTATTCTGGAGACAACTTTGTTGCCAAAGAACTGTCTTAACATTTGCGAAAGGCCAGACAACACCTACCGTAACCGATTGGGATTAGTTTCGCTCCTCCCCAAACAAGACCGTCCATCTCAATACCACGAACGAGTTTCTCCATTTCTTCCAGATTCGTCTCATCATCCCATGGCTTCACATCTAGAATAACAGATGACTTCGCAATAGGACCAGGTTTCGCGGCCTTCTTTTCTGCGTATGCCTTCAGCCGTTCTTGAACGATTTTATGCTTCTCTAGATCTTCTTCATCGTCAGACCCGAAAAGATCAATATCGTTTTCCTGAAAAAGAAAAGTACCGTCGAGACCAAATAGAACCAACTCCGTCGTCATTTGCTAAATGATACATAATTGTTCACCAAATACAATAACCTCAATAAATTTAAGAAACATACCTTCTCTTCATCGTTCTTCACACAACCATCAGCAGAGAGCCATGAACTACGTTCGCTCTTATCGTAACTTGCAATATTTCTGTACCAGCGGGCTATATGGGGGTAGGTTTTCGGACATGGATTCGTCGAGAAAGCATCAAAAAGCGTGCTATCTTCCCCCGATAGGATGAAACTGAAAGAAATTGCTAAGTATGCTGCGAAATTGCTCAACATGTTTATGAATAGGATTATTAGAAACCCCTCAGATAGCAGAACGGTAATACCTCTACTGGCCAATTAATGGATAAGGATTAAAATAAGGTTTTAGAGTATAGGGCAGTTATACCTTTTTATTTTCTGCCTACTATAATTTCGCGGCAGGGTACTAAGCGAAATACAACCACAACGTTGCTGAGATATTTGCAAAACTCTGGACCGCAGGTGTCTATGGTGGGGAACGAACGCGCTATTGTCCTTTCCGGGGAGTAACGCGTTCACCACCACACCATGCGGATCCTTCGTTTCGCTTGTCTCTCAGCTATTTCTATCGATCTTTTGCCGCAGCAATAGTAGGCAGAAAATAAAAATGTATAACATTGTGATTTCAACTACAGCCGCAGCTTAACTGGGTTCTATGCCGATTTGGGCGCCTCAGATCAATCCCGCTGACGGGTGATTGCTGCGGCAAAATATCGATAGAAATAGCTGAGAGACAAGCGAAACGAAGGACCCGCATGGTGTGGTGGTGAACGCGTTACTCCCCGGAAAGAACAATAGCGCGTTCGTTCCCCACCATAGCCACCTGCGGTCGAGAGTTTTGCAAATATCTCAGCAACGTTGTGGTTATAGGGCAGTTATTCATTTTTTTAGACGACCTGCATTCTCACCCCTACTGTGCGAATTCAAGCGCTTCTCGCGTCCGATTGGTTCTCTCTCATCGACCATCCCCGAAGGTCTCTTAACTTTTTGCATTCGGCTGCAAGTTGAGGATTTTCCTTTCGACATGAATACCGCTGAATGCTGATAGAGTCCATTCTTCCCGGGCTCCTAAGATAACTGGGATAGAGCATTCTCACTTGAATTGCAGAGAGTGAACTTTTTCCAGAAAGGTTTGCTACCAAACTACCGACCCCGGAGTGATGACAGGCTTGTTGAGCTCAGTGTGGAGTAGCACCAGAACGGTGCTCGTGATGATCAACATCATTACCACTGCGCTTCCCATTCACTCAGTAAATCACCAGATCGTTAAATGTTCCAAGACTGTTAAACTAGTAAGTAATAATCTCAAGTCATTTCTTCATTTGTTCCCTTACTCCACGAATAACAGCGGAAGGGGTTCGAAATACACAAATGTTAACAACTTATCTATGACAGAACAAAAACAGATTCAACAACAATTTTCACTTGCATACCTAACGATCTTACAAAGCAAGCAGATTTGAAACTGGAAAAAGATCACCTGAATTATAACAGCCATGTTAAGCAATTTCTTAAGTTAACAACAATGAACCAAGACGCCTCCAGCAAAGTAGAATCTGGCATAGGTCCCGTAATCCCATAAGTGCTAATTATATTCCATACATTATAGAAATTTCGTAAGCTTAACAAGGCAACTTACTTGGTATACGCATTGACTTCAATGTGTACACATCGAAAAATAGTTGCGATTTGCAACTTTAAACGAGCTTATCTCAGCTCATAATGAACTTTGTTAATCAGAATTAACACTATGCCGATCAGCAAATCACTAGCTATAGAATACGAGTTCTCTCAATACGCAAAGGTAAAATTCTCTTCCTTGTATAAGCAAAACATACGTCCGTTTTTGTATGTCGAAGCCCGTGCTTCCAACATCGAAGTACATCAAGAGTCTGGCTTTCATCTAACACTATGGAATTCCCCAACGCATCGTCTACGTTAGCAGTTGCTACGATTGCCCCCACTCCAAAAAAAGTAGTGAAAACATGTGTGGCCCTGAATTCGTTGTAAAATCCGAATTTCAAGCGGATTTGAAGTTGAAAGGACGATCCAGAAAGACCATTTAGACCCTTAAAGCCATGGGAAAAGCCTCTTCTACAAGTCCACAAAGTTCCAATTTCTCAGTTAATTTCGCTTCATAAAGTCATCAGCAGTTATAAAAAAAGTACCGGATGTTGTGTACTAAAGACAAAAAAAGATCTTTTCCCTATTCTAAAAGTAGATGAAGAGGTAGTCAAACGCTGTTGAACATTTCTGAAATATACTACCTCCTTTGATGTAGTCATAATCGTTTACACTATCGCAAAATCGCATACACCACTTAGTCCATTTTTACTTCCTAGTGAAGTAGAAGTTCCTAGCTCACGTGGCCTCAGAAGGCGTCAAACTTTTGTTGCTCAAAAACGTTTGCTTTACAAGCCCTTTCTGGATGGTTAGGAATGAGAGTCCTGCAAAGACATTAAAGATATGCAAAGGCGGATATAAAGTTACTATAACAACGCTTATTCATTCACTCCTTTTAAAGTCATACTTCGGAGCTATTATCTGCTAAAGAACAGTAGCCCTGTTAGGGTAAGTAGATGGGTCATGCAGATGACGACTATCGCAATGTACAGCTAACAGAATATCCTTCGAAAGGAGACAATGAAAATGCAAAACATGACGACTTGAATTTTTTGCTGTTAACGACATCTCTTTGCGTATAGAGCTACTAGAATGGCAGACAGTGACGGCTACTTTGCAGCAAAGAATGTCCAATTAGGAAATCTTTGAATACCCAGGTACGCATGAACACCCACGATTTATTCCGATATGAAAAGTACGGATGTGTGCCTGTAGAGGTTGTATGGGATTTATCATGAAAAATACTTTCTTCAAACAAAGCAAACGGCATTCCCTTGTATTCCCACGTTATTCAGGAAGATGGTCTCTGCTAGCCAGGGGCATACCCACAAAGCGTTTTACTGGGAAACGTTTGGTGACAATGGTAAATGAAGAACGAGTTCCACAGATAGAGGTTTTCGCAACAGTGTGTTCCATACTAAACTGACAAGGTTAAGCAAGTTAAGGATTAAGAAAGCAGGTAAAGGATACTGGTTAAATGTGGAATGAGATTTAACGACAACAGATTGCTTCAAGAGCGACATGTCTCAGAACGTATCTACATGATGCGGCACACTGAAGAACGACGACGTTCAGAAACAATGAAACTGTGGCTTGAACGCCTTTCATCAAGAGTGAAACATGACGTTAACCTAACGAAGTTGGAAAGGTTACGACACCTCTCTAACCGATAGCAAGCATTCTGAAACTCCGAATGAAGCTTGGGAATAAGCGATAGCGACCCTTAAACACATTTACTCAATTTTAGAATGTGCTTATATGATGTTTGTATGATACAATGTGTAGTACGAAACCGTGTTGTGGCAGCTCATTATAAGCAGAAGATTGGTTGGTTTACGCTTTATACTGTATAACTTTCATATCACTATTTTGCAACCACGGGGAAGACTTTGGCCAAGCTGATCTCGGGACTCCAGGAAACCACAATGGCTAAACCAACAGAACTCCGAAAAAATGGAAATTATTCTGAAGCCTGCACAACTAGTGAATGGGTCATCCAAGTGTCCAGGTATCCAAGTATTTTGCAATCATACCAAAAATGGATTGGTGGGGCCAGGCATTCTAGTGCACCAACAAATATACACCACGAAAGCACCACCACTTTTTCTCATTCTCCAAAATGTAAAACATCTACTAGAAACAGCTAAAAAAGCGGAAACTTTAATGATGCTGAGATATTTGCAAAACTCCGGACCGCAGGTGTCTGCTGTGGGGAACGAACGCGCTATTATCCTTTCCGGGGAGTAACGCGTTCACCACCACACCATGCGAGTCCTTCGTTTCGCCTGTCTCTCAGCTAGTCCTATCGATCTTTTGCCATGAGCAATCACCCATAAAAAGCGGAAACTGTTTAATCACAATTAATCTAAACCAAAACTCAGGACATCTTTTCGGTGGGAGCAAAGCATCAGGAAAGAAGCTTACCCCGTTGCGAACGCCTGCGAGGAAAGTGCTTCGTTGAAAACAGCGAGGCCATCGGGAGATGCAACGTCGAACATCATTAAGCAAAATTTGAGCAAGAAGTCCCCGAAATCGGAAGATTCCTTTGGCTGGTAGGAGTTCTGTGTCAAATTTCCGCATCGGGGCCAATGCAGACTGGCGCGTGAACGGTCCTTTAATCTTCACGGGCGGCTTGGTTGTGACCGAACGACGTCGAGGGCGCACAGGCGCTCAGTATGTGATCTTGCTTTCGTGTGGATGAGTGCTCTCGTTCGAAGTAGTTCTCTCTGTGGTTGTTTCTCTTCCTTTGTTTCTTTTGTTGGGGGTTTTTTCTGTTCTGGATGCAGTATTGGTAACCGTTGCCCTAGCAGTGTGCAGTACAGTCTTGCCAGAATCCTAAAGAAATCTTAAGACCTCCACCAAACCTTTATTCCACTATTCAGAGCTTTTTATTTCACGGAATAACGATTTTATTTTTCTTTCTTTCTTTTTTTTCCTGAAATTTTCTTCTTTCGTTTCGTTTCTTTTCTCTTCTTTCTTCCTATACGTCCTTATATCTTTCTCCTAACCTATACATTAAAACTAACATCTTAGAATTCTAAACGAGGTCTCTTTGCAGATGTATGTACTGAGGCTACGTAGGCTAGGTGATTTTGGTCACATCCGGTTCTTCCACTCATCGATTTCCTGTTGGGTATGTCACTGCTCAAAACTGTATGTAAGATTATATTTAAAATCATTCTGATACACGTTCAGGCGAAGGTGCCGATCAGTAAGTTTGAAAAGGATGTATATTTGCCGTACGAGAAGTTGTCGCAGAATGTTAAGATCGTCAGAGACCGGTGAGCAGAACAAACATAGTTTACTGAAGTTGTTAACTGAAACTACACACGTATAGGTTGAAGCGGCCATTGACGTTGTCTGAGAAGATCTTATACGGCCACTTAGATCAACCGGCCACCGAACACATCGAGCGAGGCGTCTCCTACTTGCGATTGCGCCCAGATCGAGTGGCGATGCAGGACGCTACTGCTCAGATGGCTATGCTTCAGTTCATTTCATCTGGATTGCCAAAGGTTTGAAAAGCCAACAAGATGATCGTCTGTTTAGGTTTTCGCATAATTTCGATCATCTTGGGTTAGACGACATTTCATGTTCGTGCCCTGCTTTAGACCTAATGATTATAGATGTTATAGACTGCTGTTCCATCCACGATTCACTGCGACCATTTAATTGTGGCCCAAAAAGGAGGTGAGCTGGATTTAACTAGAGCAAAGGTGAGTGTTATTCGCGTAATATAAAAAGTAATGTTATCCACTAGCTTCACATCTACATATTGAAGGGGGAAATTTTCATCTTTGTTTCTCTGTTGGTATTTAATTATCTTCAGGATATTAACAAAGAGGTGTTCAACTTTCTTTCATCAGCGGGGAACAAATATGGCGTCGGATTCTGGAAACCTGGTTCAGGGATAATCCACCAAATAATACTTGAAAACTACGCTTTCCCAGGTCTCTTGCTTATCGGGACCGATTCCCACACGCCTAATGGAGGTAGGGAATCATATAGTGTTGAATTTAGGTTGCAGTTCACGAAAACCTTGTGAAAGTTCGCATTAAAAATTTCTAAATGAGATATGCAAACGTTTAATCAAGGCGGACTGGGAGGACTTTGCATTGGAGTTGGTGGAGCTGATGCCGTCGACGTAATGGCAGATATTCCATGGGAGCTCAAATGTCCGAAGGTTATAGGGGTTAGGCTTTCTGGAAAGCTTTCTGGGTGGACCGCAGCAAAAGATGTCATCTTGAAGGTAGAGGATTCATAATGTTTGTTCTATTATGTGGTATTTTAGAGTTATTTTTCAAGGTTGCGGATATTTTGACGGTGAAGGGAGGTACTGGAGCTATAGTGGAGTATATTGGTCCCGGTGTTGACTCGATCTCGGCGACGGGAATGGGAACTATCTGCAATATGGGTGCTGAAATTGGAGCCACTACATCAGTGTTCCCCTACAACGAAAACATGAAGAAATACCTTGAAGTACGCGCTACTGTGTTTTGATTTTTTTTCAAGTTGTGAAGTGATCGTTTTAACCGAACCGCACCCCATATTTCGAAAACTCAGGCGACTGGACGTGGAGAAATTGCGGAAGAAGCTAGCAAATATAAAGATCTCCTTACTGCTGATGATGGAGCTCACTATGATCAGGTGAGACTGACCCAATTTCTTTGCTTTGTAGTTGCAAGTGTTTGAATTTTTCTTAGGTTATTGACATTAATCTGGATACTCTTATTCCGCATGTGAATGGTCCCTTCACTCCCGACCTTGCGTCACCAATTGATAAGCTTGGCGAGAATGCAAAGAAAAACGGTTGGCCACTAGAAGTCAAAGTTGGTTTAATTGGATCGTGTACGAACTCTTCTTATGAAGATATGACTCGAGCTGCATCTATTGCTAAGCAGGTATCTTCTATACACCGTTTAACATTATTCGATTATCTCCACTTCTCCTTTTTTATATTAGGAAGACTCGTCATATTATTAAGCAGTAGATTCGTAGTATTTTCATCATAGAAGGTTCCATATTTTCGTTTAAAGATTCCTTATAAATGTAAGGTATCAAATGTTGCGGTTCATATAATATTTTGGCAACCATTCTAAGTTGAACTGTTCTGCACAGGCTGTCGACAAAGGACTTAAAGCTAAAAGTATGTTCTATATTACCCCTGGATCTGAACAAATTCGTGCAACCATTGAGAGGGATGGCATTTCCAAAATATTCAAAGATTTTGGAGGACTGGTTCTTGCTAACGCTTGCGGACCTTGCATTGGTTAGTTTTGATATCATGGTAAGGTCATTAAATTTGTGCATAGTCCCTCTTTTCCCATCTTATGAGAAAAAAAGTTGCAATGCTTTGTAACAGACTGCTACAAACTAGTCTGCCGTATGCTTTGTCATTGCGGAGTTTCAAAGTTGATAACGGTCCTGTTAGCATGGGCAAAGAAGAACTATCTTGTCAACCGCAAGGGTACAGAGATATGATTAAAACTTGGAACCTCGGCTAGACTTTGCACCCGTAATTACGCTTTTGGGAGGCTCAAGTCTAACCTATTGCACCATTGGGGCACTTGTTTGTCTTTCTCTCAGTCAGTTTTTTAACCTTAACGATGTTTTTAGCAATCACCCATCAACGGGAACGATATGAAGAGCGCAAGTCGGCATTCAACCCAGCTAAGCTGAAGTTAGACTAGAAAACTGGTGAAAAGAAAAACAAAATTGGGGCCTCGGTTGTTGTGATGGATGGCACGTGAGCACGTGAAGAAAGGGTAATCACGAGTTCGAAGCCCCACTGAGCCTTCGAGTTCTGCTGATATATTAGCATTCTTACAGTTGTATTTCACAGAAAGTCTTGTCGTGAAAAAAGAATGGTACTTAAGAAGACGTTGAGGATTGCATTCTGTCACCGTCATTCGTAGGAATGTTTGTTTAAAGCTCCAACCGTGTTCAGTGTTTAAGTGAAGTTGTAAATGTAGTCCTATATTCATAGGTTTCTTGAGTACAAGAGACGCAAATAACGCTTCAATTTTTTGCTCAATCCAGCTTTCTGCATGTGGTTTTTTTAGAAAAATAGATGACCTACAGCTTGGCTTTCTGATTTTGTAATGTGCCATTGTTGTAGGACAATGGGATCGTCAAGATGTCAAAAAGGGAGAGAAGAACACCATTGTGACGTCGTACAACCGAAATTTTACTGGTAGAAACGACGCTAATCCGGCTACGCATGCGTTTGTCACATCACCAGACATCGTGACTGCCCTGGCTATTGCTGGAACACTTGACTTCGACCCGCGGAAAGACCAACTTTCAGCTCCTGATGGTGGGATTGGATTCCATCCACATTGTTATTGTTTCTATTTTCGGAGGTTAAGGTTCAAAATTCGTTCTCAGCCCTCCAACAGGAGTAGATCTCCCAAAGAAAGGATACGATCCTGGCCAGGACACATACCAACCACCATCTAATTCTGGAGAGGTCAGTTACAATAAGTTTTTCTGGAGGTTGAAGTATTTTTTGCGGTTTCACCACATTTTAGGTTGAAGTCAATCCAAAATCAGAGCGTCTGCAACTCCTACAACCTTTTAATAAGTGGGACGGCAAAGATTTGCAAGATATGGTTATTCTTATTAAAGTCAAGGGGAAGTGCACAACGGACCACATTTCCGCTGCTGGTCCTTGGCTTAAATATCGAGGTCACCTTGATAATATATCAAACAACCTGTTTCTGACAGCTGTTAATGCTGAAAATGGAGAAATGAACAAAGTGAGTCTAAAATTCTCCCTTTACATTGAGCATATTGTTTGCTTTTTATTCCTACCATGTTATTTTCTAGAACTGATTTCTAGTTCCGCATACCTTCATTGTTCAGGTCCGCAATCATCTTACAGACGCATTCGGAACTGTTCCTGAAACTGCACGGTACTACAAGGCAAAGGGAATTAGCTGGGTAGCAATCGGTGACGAAAACTATGGTGAAGGGTCAAGTCGTGAACACGCCGCTCTTGAACCTCGACATCTCGGAGGACGAGCAATCATTACGAAGTCGTTTGCTAGGATTCATGGCATGTTACATGCTGACTTTCGTGTTACTGTCTTTATTTTTTGACTTGAATAACTTCTTAGTACTACTGAAAGGTTTACAGAAACGAACCTAAAGAAGCAAGGAATGCTCCCATTGACTTTCGCTGATCCTGCTGATTACGACAAAATCGACTCCAATGATAGAATTTCCATCATGGGATTGAAAGGTTTTGCTCCAGGAAAGCAGCTTCAAGCAGTCATTAAAAAGAGTGATGGTTCTAAAGTACGTGTGTATATCTGTTTTTTCATAGTTTTTGGTTCCTGAAATACCTTAGCATTTTATTTCAGATCGAAATTTATCTCAATCACTCATTTAACGAGCAACAAATCGAATGGTTCAGAGCAGGATCTGCTTTAAACAAGATGAAAGAAAAATTCGCCTCAACGTAGTTTCTCGTCATTCCATTTCCACTGTTTCCACAATCTCACTGTACTTTTTCCCCATTTAGAGCCAGTGCATAATATCTTGCAAAGTTCTTTAATTGCTGATAGCACCTACAGGTCAATAACGCGGCTAAGAAAAAGGCGAAAAGAAGGTCTTCCATAGCGTGGTAGTAAAAGCGTTAGCTGCTAAGGTAACTTTACGGAGAAAATTCGAAAACCTTTTGAGTAAATCGCATAACACAGCTTCAATAGCGCACAGAAATATCGCTAACAAGCATCAAACAGTCACAGTAGGATAGGTAATGTGCAGGAAAATTCAAGGTTAACTGTGTTAGGAGGCATAACTCTCCCTTACGGTGCGCGCTCGTTATTAGAATTGGGACTGTGTTTCTTCTCATCATCTGAACCCATTTCTAAGATAACCTTGCGTAGGGTCGCATGTAGTTTGCATGAACTTCAGGATAGACTCCGCAAAAAAGCAAAATGGCAAGGGGCGCTGGTTTAAAACCATCAGTTATTTCTCAACTAAAAGTTGACTTACCAACGTGTCCAGTCTTGTACTTGCCTATAAAAACTCATAGGTTAGTATCCAGTGATGATCTTGCGTCTATCGATCCATCATTGTTTAAGGTTAGACCTATCATTAGTTGCGTAGACGGATCAACGGATAGAATAACGTGGTTAATAACCCTAATACTTACCCAGTTGTTGGATTACATTATAGCCCATTTAACGAACACCCAAATGTTCCTGGACAGAACTAGCTGAGAGACGGGCAAAACGAAGGAGCCGGATGGTGTGGTGGTGAAGTGCGCTACTCCCCGGTAAGGAGAATAGCGCGTTCGTTCTCCACCACATACACCTGCGGTCCGGAGTTTTGCAAATATCTCAGCATAATTGAAGTTATATTTCACAATGTATACCTTGCCGTTAAAAAGAGTAGGCAGTAAATAATACGTTAAATTGTTCCTGGATCGTCTACGTAACGCGCGAGCCAACAGCGCGTGCGTGATGGAGTACCTCGACGTTACCGCCCTCTATACAAACGTGTAGAATGACTCCGCAATGCAAGCCGTATGCGAACTCTTTATACAACACGAAGGAAAAATAAACATGTATAGCTTCAAGATAGAGCACTTGATGGCACTCTTAAAAGAATGCTTGAGCTGCTCAATCTTCAGATGGTCCGGAAAGTACTACTCTCAAAGTACTACTTTCACCCGAGAGAAGCCGAAAGATAAATGGCTTCTAAATACCCCACTAGGCCCGCAAAGGACCCAAAGACATAACGGGGAGAGCAATGGGACAACAAACGACACCAAGCCTTGCCATTGCGTTTATGTCTGAGGTGGAAGCACCGGTGACTGATCTCGTGCCGCTACTCTACTGTAAATATAGATGACTGTTTTGTCCTTCGCTCAACACAAGAGTAAATGGACAAATATTTCGAGTTGTTAAATGCACAGAGTATATCAAGTTCACCCTAGAGAAGCCGAAAGATAAATGGCTTCCATTCCTGAACGTCCAAATTCACCTGTCAGAAAATGGCTACATTACAAAGTGGTGCCCAAAACCAAGTAGTAGAAACATCTTGGTTCATTACTTCTCCTCTCACTCCTCTCACACGAAAGGTCGCTTGTGAGAAACATGTTTCGAACATCAACCAAAGTGTGCACAGGAAGAGAGTCCCGGAACTTGGCGCGGCAAATAGCCATTTCCAATGGCTACGAAAATGTAGCTCGGCATAGCTGTAGGAGACATCCTAGGCCTCCAAACGACAACTCTAGCGGTAAAAAGGTCCCGCTTATCCTATCTTTCATCTCAAATGATGTAAGTGCAGCTATAAAACGCTGCTGAAGAAGGGAAGGTTTAGAGAATTCGGTAAACGTAGTTGGAATGCCACCGAGTAATCTTAGGCGCCAGCTAGTTCGTAACCGCCTATATGACCGTCTATGTGCAACGCAAAATTACATAATTTGCCCCAATGGTTAAAACGGCGATTGCATGAGCTCGGGTATAGTTTATCTGATCTGTAAGGCGTGCGGAGACGAATACATTGGCGAAACAGGCAGACCCCTCTGTGTCCGCATAAAAGAATACCTACCCGGCAAAAATAGACCAAATACCCCGCTAGGTACGCATAGGACCCAGAGACATAACGGGGAGGACTTCGAAGTACGTGTCACGATCCTCGCACAAGAATCGAGAACACAAGCGCGCAAAACTCTCGAGGCGTTCTGGAATTAATTCCAGAAATCCAAAAATGAACCGCAGGGAAGAATGCCTCACTATCACGGGTGATATTGGGCAGTATATAAGACTGTTATTCTGGTAGGAGGGGCACATTAGGCTTCCATGTGAATTCTGTGCGGTTGGTCCTCACACATTCCAAGTGGAGGCCTCGTAGAAGGCGATGGGTGTGCAAAGCTGTGTTCAATGTGATTGAAATCTTGGTTTGGCATTTTCTCTGTTTGGTTATGGAGGTGTTTGGCCGAATAAATTGCTGTGAACTTGACCTTTCCAGGCTCTGAGGAAGGCGAAATCCGCCGAAATGTCAGCTTATTCGTGAATAAAGAATAAAAGTAACACCTCACGTTTGCTGAACAAGAATACGAAAAAAAAAAGCGTTAGCTCCAGGAAAGAGTAACGAGCGGTGCGGTGTTTTATAAAAATATCTCAGCACATTAAAGTTCTTTAGTTTTGTATAATATTAAGTAAAGATTCCTAGGCTGTGTGCCTCGCTTAAAGTATGTTATGAAAGTGTCGTTTTCTTGTTCAGCAATCGCGAGGTTTTTAAACAGCATACATTTACTTCCATAAGAAACACAATACAATACAACAGTAGCTGACGTTTCGGCAGTATCGCCCCCACGAGATAAGTTTACAAGGAGAATGACGCGCCCACCGCCCACGCGAAACACTTGGCCAAAAGAAAGTCCCGTTTATGTTGCCTTTTATAAGCGATGAAGTAAGCGTAGCTATAAAACGATTCTTAAGAAGTGCAGGTCCAGAGGAATCGGTAGCGATAGTTGAAATACCACCGGCTACTCTACGTCGCCAATTAGTTCGCAACCGCCTGTATGAAACCCCTATGTCTGTGTGAAACAACAAATTGCGTAATTAGCCCTTACGGCAGGGACGGTGATTGCATGAGTTCAGGTACGATATGCCTGATCTCTTGTAAAAATTGCGGAGATGAATACATTGGCGAAACGGGGA